TCCGACCGGAATAGTTATTAAAGTCTTCGGGTATTTCCGCAGCTGCATTCACCCTTGGTCAAATTGGAAATACGTGTCCAAGTGGTGTTGTAACAAACAAGAGCTCACTACCTCTGAAGATGTGATTTGCCTCATGTGCTGGGAAATACAGCCTCTTGCAATTTTGATGGCACTGAGAAAGCTCAGTTTTGTGGTGTCAAGGTGTGAAACTGTTTGGTGATTTTGATCCGTTCATGGATTTATTATAGTGCACTGATTTTGGGCCTTTAATTTGGCTATGAACAAGGAACATCTTCACCTCCTGGTTTGTCGGCGTTTTGAGTTTGATGTTCTTATGCCGACAAGACAATAATCAACATTCATCTTCCTTCGAGGTACGCTGTTTGTATCAGGGGCGCAGCCGAAGTGGGGCGGGGGGGGGGGGGCGGAGCCCGTTCCCCTCCTCAGCCTAGGATTATTTTTGTGTCATCACAGATGACTCCGGCATCAAGTTATAAATCGGTGTGGTGCGCTCTCACTGAGCCCCCCTCCCCCCCCCCCACATACACGCAAGAAAATCCTGGCTGCGCCCCTGGTGTGCACTGCAACACAGGAACATAGGGGTGTCCCAGCAGAGCGGAAAAGTGAAAAGGAGTGAAAGAGCTTCAAACAAATTAAGTTCTTTACATGCACCCCGTGGCACTCGTGCCAAGCCTACAAAAAGTGTGCTGGCTTTCCTTGGCTCCTTGCCGCAACAGACCTAACTCGCAGTAGGTATGCGTCGCGAGGGGACGCTGCCGCGAGCACACCTCGAAAGTGGAGTACGCAGATCTGGCGTGCCTCTTCCAGTGAGTGGGCGGTGCAGTGGCGCTGTGCCAGCCAGCTGGGTCCGAGCGTTTAAACACCCAGGTATACAGTATTCGGCGCGGGCACCGCGACCGGCGCGGGGACCGGTAGTGTCACGTGACGTATGTTTAGTTGGCCCGGCCTGGACCAAGGTCCCCGTCCACCAGCGGTCTAAATATACGGGGCGGATCTGTGAGGCGGTCCGGCGGAGCGTGGCGCCTTGTGCTTACGTCATCGGGACGTCTCAAGGTCAAACATCCGAAATTTAGCTATTTTGGGGCGGCATGCAGGGAACGACGGTCTTGTGGTTAAAACGAAAACACGCGGTGAAAGCAGATCGGAAATGAATGGGATTTTGTGATGACGAGCCCTTACCTGTCCCTTTCAAGCGCCAGCAGGCGCGGCCAGGTGACCATATTTTAGGAAATGTGTTTTAGGGTTTGCAGTTCGCGTAAGAAAAGATGTGACGCTTAAAGATGCGTAAAGAGATCGGGTGCAGTGAGCGGCTTTCTGGTTTTATTTCTCTTAGGACGGGATCAAGTTGATTAAATCTTTTTAACGAATGGATTTCTGGGATCAGAGCTCACGCTACGCACCACTCGTTGTGTCGTTCCCTCGATGTCATTGTGACGGTGTTAGGCCCATGTAGGGCTATTTGGATACACCCTCGCCTTCAATAAACTACACAATGTCCTGCAACCCGACCGCGGTGACAAACTTTCGACTGTTAAAACCGGTCATGTCGGCACTCCATGCAGCAAGCAGCTCGCAGCAAATAGGGCGAAACCCAGTCCATTACAATCTGCGATGACGTCTTTACATTATCCCAACTCTTAAACACATCACAAGTTTCTGCTGCCTGTGTTACGACGAGCGCGGATCCTCAGGCTTGTCCTGTGGTGTAAATCTGATAGCAGTTACGAATGATGTTTGCTGACCCACTTCAACCCAAGCGTGTGTACCTTTTACTTTAAGCAAGACCCAGCTGCGTTCCTCCCTATTGCGTCAGTCTTTCGTGCTTCTTTTGCTCATCTGAAGGGTGCGCTTAATCATGGGTGTGTTGAAGCGGCTGGCTCGTGTTTAACACTCCACTCAAAAGATGGGTGAATAGCAATGGCTCCACGCGACAAACCGTGACTTCTTCATGCCTTTGGCAACCGGCCAAGGAAAATGTTACAAACCTAGCGTAAAAGGACTTCAGGTAGTCGCTAAAAAACGGCATTGATCCTGTGGTTAGGTTCTCCATAGTATCAGCCAGCCTGTTAGAACCGGCCAGAGGTAAAACCTAACCTGTGGGGAAGGTTAGGTTATCCCTTTGCAGGAGAACCTAACCTTCCCGCCGCTAAATCGGTCCCCGGGACGGCTCTTATTCGTATTCTTATTATATTACCTGTTTTCAGCGGCAATGGCACTATCACGGCCATGGCAACACATCCTGAACACTACGTTGAAGGGATGTAGTCACTGAGAATCGTGGGTGCATTGGCGGCTTACTTGTCTCGGAAATTGCACTCTGTTTCCAGGGCTGTTATGTGTACAAAACGCCTGCAGTACGTAAGCACCAATATGGCGCACATATACCCCACTGACACGTTAAAAGTAGACGGTACGCATCGGCAGCGGCAGCGGCGGCGACGCTCCCGCCACACGGACGTGGATCTCTTTGATTGGAATTCAAGGAAAATAAAGTCTGCTCTGTTTCCAGGCGAAATACCTCCCAGATCCAAACGGAGCGTTAATGGCGGGGCTGAATAAGCCGTTGCAGGGCATCCATTGTTATGAACGTTAAGACCAGCAACAGATCCAGACAGTCACTGGTCGGAAGGCGATAACTGCTTCAGATGTTGGTGGCCCCGGGCCAACCGGCGTCACACGGGCCGCTGTGTGACGCTGATGCGGTGTGCTGTGGCGGGCTGTGGGAAGGGTGCCGCGTAATTCAAATAGCTCATCAGTTTTATTTTCCAGATAGCCGGGTCTTTGGGGTAGAGGAGCCCCGCTTTAGCGTTGCGGGCGTCTCAAATGGAGGGCCGTCCCATAAAAAGTCCCGTGACTAGCCCGCGATCAACCTTTAAGCGTGCTCAGCTGATGGATTGGCCCCATAGGCTTTCGACGACCAGGGCGGTCATGCATGTAGCCCGTCTTGCCCAGACTGTAGTTCTTGTGATCCAGGCCAAGTCTGCAGCCCAGTTAGCCTACTTTGCAGCTTATGTGATCCAGCGTGGCCCAGTCCGAACTGGTCAGACGTAGCCAATGCCTCACCTTACCCAGTTTGCAGAGGCATGCATTTCGACGCTTTTCATTTGTCACGCCGCCAGTACAAGATCGTTGGAGCCCCCGGCAGGGCGTGGGACAGCAAGCAAGCCGGCCGTGGCCAGGAACTCCTCCTCCGAACAAAACAAAACTATGTCACAGCGATCCGAAAACGGCCGAAGTGTCGAAAAGGATGCCTACATGTGTAGCTCACCTGACACATCCTTACGTTCGTCCGACCCAGTCCGTAGGTCATCTGACTCAGTCTGTGCTCACGAGACCTGGTCTTACCCAGTGGGTAGGTCATCTGACTCAAACTGTACTCAAGACCTAGTCTCCCCCCCCCCCCCAGTCTGTAGTTTAGTGGATCCAGTCTACAGTTTTCTTGACCAGTGTGCATCTCATCTGGCCGAGACTTAAGCTCAAGTCTGACTCAGACTGATCCAGTCTGGGGTCGCTCTACCCACCTTCACTCCGTGACCCTGCCGTGCTAACCAGCCGCAGGCTACTGTTTTTATATCCGTTTTGTGGAGCTGATGGTCGCTGTGATTTAGCTCTCAGCTATTGGCCGCACTCTGGCGCCGCCCAGTCGGCCGGCATTCGTCCAAACAGAACTCACCTGTTCCAGACGATGCGTTTCCGTAAACTGGCAATGCGATGGCTCCGTCCTGAATAGACAGGGCGACACCAGAGCATCGTCAGGGCGTCATAAGGGCGTCATCATGACGTCATCAGGGCGTCATCGTCATCGTCGGGGTTCAATACCTAGCAGTCCGCAAACGCATCTTTGCTTTTGATGAGACGCACGTTTGAAGCCGTGGGATAAGGTTAGGCCTACACTGGCAAACATCCGCATCAGTGCAGTCGGGCATTCGGGCTCTGGCACCCTCCACACCTCGTATGTGCCACTATGCTAAAGGCTGCCCGAAACACGCACAGCGAAGTCGAAAGGTTTCAAAGGTCCACTCTGAGTATAAGGTTTGAGAGTCACTTGTTGCGGTACATCAGTGTTCAAAGCAACAGCTAGTCAACTATATCAACTGTTGATAGATGTACCATACCTGAAAGACTCCGCTCAAATCACATGTCAAAATAATATTTGTGCGTCGAGTCTGAGCCGAAGATTTCCGACGAGCAGCGCCTCTGAGGTCTAGAAATCTACGATGTCCTTTCCTGTTGCTGAGATTCAATGCTTGAAGTGGGTGTTTATTTCACTATCCTACAGGTATTGTCGCGTGTTTGTCTATCATGTGTTTCCCATGTGCTTGTCCGTTACCCTCTAACTTGCATTCCCCAGGTGCTCATAAGTTGTGTGCTTTCATCTTTACAACTGTCAGTTTTCCAGACACTAGCGTAGATCACGGTGGTGAATGCATCAGATGCGACAAATGGATGCGATTCAGTCGCTATCAGATTCACAACTGTGCGTGTTTCAGAAACTACCAGATCCGCAATATTGTGTATCTGGCACTTCCTGTAACGCTGTTCTTAAAATAAACACACTGTGCAGTCACTTGACTGATCAGTGAGTACTTCCGGCACCACCGGGACCACCACTGTGTAGGCCTTCAGCTACTACCAGATACAAGCCTTCAGTTACTACCGAACCCAGGCCTTCAGTTAGTATCAGATCCAGGTCCTCAGTTACCATCAGATCCAGGCCTTCAGTAATGATCAGATTCAGGGCTTCAGTTACTATCAGATTATCAACTGTTTATGTTGTAGGTACAAGCCACCACGAGGCTGAACACGAACAACACCGAGATCCACATCTAGGCGCGCATCAGGTGCTACCCGACTGGAACATTCACGACTGTGGGTGTTTCAGCTCTACCAGATCATCCGCTGTGCGTGACTTCGGCACTAAAAAATCCACCAACGCATGTGCTTACAGCACAACCCGAACCCCTGCTGAATGGTTTCAGGTACTACCAGGTTCACAACTGGGTGCGGTTCGTCGTGTTCGGGCTCGGCACGGCCCTGTTCCTGGCCGTGGGGAACCTGCTTCTCATCCTGTCGCTGCGAGAGAGTTACCGCCGTCGACAGGCGCTGCTGTCGCAGCGCAAACACAGAGAGGAGAAGAGGCTCAGGGTAAGCCGCCCGGCCGCCGTGCTGCGCATAGCGGCACACCGCGCCCGATATTGCCGTTGCGGTGTTATTGTGCCGCCGAGGAAGAGTAACGGAGAAGACACGGGCCATAGGGCGTGTTGATGCTATGGCACCAGGTTGAGATGAGGAGCGCAGAGCTACCACTACGCTATGCAGTGAAAGTAAGACGTTGGTTGGTTCTGTGCCAGACTTTTCTTCATTTACTCCAGCTTTGCTTGACCAGAAATCCCGCACACCGGGACGTAGCATGGACCCAACTTTCCGCACTATCTGGTGAAGAATGTCGCCAAGCTGCAAAATGGCCGCGGACGTTCGGCCCATCAAAGCAAACGTCAATGAACCTGGCTGAAAAATTGAATATATTGGCTAGCTTCTATCGGATCGGCTTAGACTGATTGCCACTTGGTAGGAAAAGGCCAGTGGCCAAATACCGGCCAGGAATTACACAGAGCACGCACATCGCACAATATGTGTGCAACAAAAGGAGCCGGCTCAAAAGACGGCCGTGACAAAAACGAGCGGTGCCTAATGAAGCGTTCCCTGCGCTCGCCGTGTACGGCTGCCGAGCACGTTTGTACCTGGCCGACAATGCTCCACATGGATGAGGCCTATTCACCGCCAGTTGGACCCGTTGGAGCTTTGTCGAGCGTTATCATTGAGTAGGCCCATCGGAACGGTATGCCGGATGATCCAATTGGCCGTCAGCTGACGTGCTGGACGGTACTGATATCGCCTCAGCCGGCCAGGGACAGGTCCAACTGCAGCCAACACAGGATTCCAAGCTCAAGACATGGGCAAAATCTTTGGTGTCAGAGCCAGCTGCCATAAGTCTATATGCATATGCATATATATATATATATATATGCTGTATATATGCGTGTGTGGGTGTGGATGTGGGATTGGGTGTGCGAGTGCTCGCGCGAGCGTGCTTCCATGCCTGTGTGTTAGTCATAAGCCACGTTTCCCTGCACAGCTCAGTTTAGTGTCCCATCCAGCCTTTCTGGCTTCCCAATTTTACAAGTGGCATTTAACTTACCCCAGTTGTTAATGGAAAAGCTCACGAAGGCTATGAAATGACTCATTTTACTTTAGAAAGTACATGACATGAAAAATTGCGTAATGGGTTATAATATGTGAAAGGATTTGATACAAGGCCACGGATACCATGCAGCCATACCTGACTTAGCGCTGCGGGAGGGTGGGTTCGTGTTTCACTGCGGGAGCTGTGGTTCGGCGTTTCCGTTAAAACAGGCTCAAGTGAGCGCGAACACATTGGAAGCTGAATATGCGATAAATAATCTTGACATTGTAATTGTTTCGGGTGCCTAAAACGCGTCATCGTTTCCATACCAATCGTGGAAAAAGCCGGTCACCCTGATAAATTAAGATGTCCCGCTTAGGGTATCAAGGGCTATTTTTTTCCCAAGCGAATCAGGTAATAACGACATTTAAGTCGATTGTAATTTTCATGCCCCAAGGCATTGGAACATCAAAAATATCTTACGATAATGTCCATACAATGGCAAGTTAAATATGAATATCGATATCGGTTTTCAAGGTCGAATACTGGGAAGTCGACAGGCCCACCTGGCGATAGTCTGCCGCATTGCCGATTGTTATAAGCGTGTGATGTTCGGGGGAGCGACAAATCGGGAGCCTTCCGCCCCTCAGAAAGACTGTGAAGTGCGCCCTGGAGCGATTGTGCCGCCAACGCACTTTAGTCTGGGCTAGTCCAAAAGTGCATCGACCTCCTGATCGGTCTCCGTCACCTGACCCAGTTGCCCTCACAAAGAGACCTACTGACCGTCGTGCAGTTTATCGTCTAGCGCGTGAAATAATGCATCACAATTCATAGCCAGGTGTCAGCTGATAACGACACCAGGCTGTCGAAAGTGATTCACTTCGCGACTAGCGTAGATACCGGCCTCCAAAAGTATCGCACACAGCCCAAACCCCATGATCGCCGCGCGTAAAGCCCGTGAGCGAGGCGCACCTGCGGTTCTTGTCTGCGTATTCAACCATATGCCGACTCGCCGACCCGTGGGCGCTCTTCCCCATGGACCAGGACCTGCGCCCTTCCCCCTCCCCCGGCGATGTGGGTGGTGGTGGGACAGCGGTCTCCCACACGCTGTGCGGCCGGTCTTCAGGACCAGCTGCAGTGGGTGTGAGACGACTGGATTCGACAAGCTTTAAGCGCACTGCGAAGTCATTCTTTGTGCGTAGGGATGTTTGATACTGTAGGCGTATGCATATATTTCTATAGTTTTACTCCTTATCACTTTCCGTTGTTTTTACTCATTCCTCCTCTCTGACAAATGGCAAGTTCGATACGAAACGATTCGATACGAAACGATACGATACGATACGCCCCTAAGTATACGAAACGAAGCGAAAGGTACTGCCGCTACGGAATGAAGCGATACGAAAGGTCTGGCTACGTATTTGTATGTGCATTGTCAGCTGATGTCAATAGCAAGCATACAGCGACTTACTGCTCTACATTGGATACATAGCCGCCTGAAAGGAACGGAGGCGGCTTGGCATTTGCCTTGATAGCTTAACTTACAACTCATTGTTTCTGGCAAATGCGTATGGCTTGTGTCAAAGGCATTCAAACCCCAAACGTCCACGAATGCTCGAATTCCCGGTGTTCGGTTGGAATATTTGATCAATGTTCGAAAGGTCCCGCGTCCGCTGGCTCAGCTCAGTGGCAGGCTGAGCCCTCGGGCTCAGCTCAGTGGCAGGCCGAGCCCTAGGGCTGAGCTCCTTGTGCAGCTGATAACCTGTGCTGACTGGCCTCTGTACTAACACAATTGTTGGTGCCACGCACAGGAGCAGTTCCGGCTGACTGTGACTCTGATCATGCCGCGCGCGGGAGCAGTTCCCGCTGGCAGTGACACTGATCATGCCGCGCATGGGAGCAGTTCCGGCTGACAGTGACACTGATCATGCTGCGCACAGGAGCAGTTCCAGTTGACAGTGACACTAATCATGCCGCGCGCAGGAGCAGTTTCGGCCTACGGGACACTGATCATGCCGCGCACAATAGCAGTTCCGGCTGACAGTGGCACTAATCATGCCGCGCGCAGGAGCAGTTCCGGCTGACAGTGACACTGATCATGCCGCGCGCAGGAGCAGTTCCGGCTGACGGTGACACTGATCGGCATCATCCTGCTGTTCCTGGCCGGGGAGTTCCCAACCCACCTGGCCAGCCGGCAGTCGGCCGCCACCCTCATCTACGGCGGCGACACGTCTCAGCTGAAGTCGAGCGGCTACCGCACCTTCAAGCTGGTCGTGTCCGTGCTCATGGCCGTCCACTACTCCTGCAACTTCGTCCTCTACTGTGCACTCAACTCCAAGTTCTTGAGCATCGTATCGCGGGTGCTGCTCTGTCTGCGCTCCGAGGGCGACGCCGAGACGAGTGACCTGCGCGTCACGGCCTCTGACGTGCCCCGCGGGCATAACCCCGCCTCCCGCGGGCCTAGCCCCGCCTTCCGCGGGCTTGACCACGCCTCCTGCGGGCACAACGCGGCCTCTCGCGGGGCTGAACCGGCCTCCCGCGGGCCTAGCCCGGCCTCCAGCGGGCCTGACCCCGCCTCCGGCGGGCATAACGCGGCCTCTCGCGGGGCTGACCCGGCCTCCTGCGACCGGCCCAACCCGCAGCCGGCCGGCGCCGCCAACGGTCGGGTGGTCTGAGGGGCAGGCGGTCTGCGGTGCTGCGAGGAGGAGATGGTGAGGGTGGCCGGTGGGCTGTAGCCTCCATCTGCGGCAGTGGAGGCAGTGAGAGGCACGGGACGACTGCGGTGCGGCGGTTAGGCTTGACAGCCTGGCTTTCTCGCTATCTGAGAGTGTTGAGCTGATTTGTTTACCAATTTTGACCGTTGACCGAAGCTCTCTGACCGATTGTCTGAATGTCTAGAATTGTTTGGCAGTCTGAGCATCGGAGTACCGTCGCGACCGACATGTCACGGACGGTCTCCAGACTTTCGAGAAAGTCTGACTAGCTGAGACCGTGATAATGAGACAACCCGTTGGATCGTCTCAGACCGGCGTGATCAGGTGACTGACCAAGACAATCGCCCCAGCGGCTTTGGTGGCTGCTCTGTGCCGAATCCGCGAAAGAACACGCATTTTGAGTCAAATATCCCCCGAGTGCGACGGACTTCCGAAGATCTCTCAGCTAAGCTAAGCAAGCTAAGCTAAGGTGTAGGGAGAAAGCTGATGTTACTCGATATTTGCGTGACTGAAGAGAGGTGGCTGTCCATCTGTTATGACGACAAAGCCATTCAAAAACCTTTTCAGCCCACAAACCCACAAACCTAGTGTCACAAACCGCATTTGAGACGCTCGATCGTGGCGGCCCATGGTGTATCGACAATGTGAGCATCGGTTTGTATTCGAATGGTTTGCACGGGTGAGTCTGATCTTTAACACTTAACACCTTTAGCTGCTGATGCCGTACAGCTGAAAGGCTCCTATTTCCTTACGAGTGTCTATGGCCTTTGCTCCCACCATGGCTTTCCTTTCTTTTCTTGCGACCTTTTGGCGTTATTTTTGGTGTGCTGTAGTGATTAGCATGAACTTGGCGTTACTTCTCTCGCCACAAGTCCATGGCCACTGGTTCCCATCGCTGTATTACGGGGTATGTCACTCCTTGGTCCCCATGCCGGTCTTGGAGGCTCTGGCCTCTAATTTGTCCGCGAGATCTTTGAAGCCCCAAAAGTTTGTAGATTTCATACTCCATGCCGGGCTTTACAGGATTCTCTATAGAGGTCATAACGGGGTCTGGCCCCGTATGCCCCCCCCCCCCTTTGCGTGCACGGTCTTAAATACGAATTACAACCAGTGTCGGTCGATTACGAATCCAGCACATGTACTCCAGATCACGGAGGCGAAACCATAACGTGACTTTGATGTGACTCTCCATGACATGATGTGACTCATGTCACCTCATGACATGACGTCGCATGATGTTACGCCGTGACATGATCTGAGCGATTCCACGTTATCGTTAGCCCCATGGAGCAGCACGTTAATGTATATTTGATGTCGCGCTAGCGTTATGGTATCGCCATCATCGTGATGCTATCATGCCAAGTTTTTGTAGTAGGGTTTATGATTGTTGCTGTTCTTCATGAGTGATATCTACTATCATCTGCCACGCGCAACTGTGATGAGATTGCGCCCACAACGGTCACAAACTCACACACCCTGAGATTGGAAACTCTAATCGAAAGGTTAGATCGCGTTCACAACCGCCACCGAGCTTGGCTGTTGCTAGAACCTGGTCCCTGTTTAATAATAATACGGCATCATCGCGTGTCAATCTGTGTGCAGAAAGGCACTCACAACTTACCTAGAGACCGTGCTGTAAGATGCATGAATGTATTGATGTTAGTATACACCGTATGATGCCATTTGGGTGTTAATTGTCTGAAATAGCCCATGCTTTATTCAGAAGTGCGACGGCGCATTAGGACACGACCCGCCTGGGGCGCTGAAAGAACCCATTCCAGGCTTCTGCGGCAACCTCCGAGGCGCACTTGGCTTTCTCACCAAAGTCTCCGTAGGTGCTGGTCGGGAGGTTAATGACAATTTTTTGCTGAGATATGGTGTCCGTTTTCGTCAGATCACGGTGCTATAACGTCATCAGTGAGAGCTTGCATGCGCATTTGAGCAGCTAGGAGAGCAGTTGTGCAGCAGAAGAGCCCTGCCAAATTCTGCATTGATATGCTGTTGAAGCATATCAGCTACTTGAAACGCGTGTCAGCCAGGCTCCATCTTGCGAGTAGAGGCTGCGCCAGGACCCAGTTCTTTATCGACAAAGTACCCAGGTGAGGTTACCACTTATGACGTCACAAGTATCAACGTCACACACCAGCGACTTTTCTCCAAGACGAAGAGAATGTTGTGATGCGCTTGCCTGTGACGTCATAGGTTGCAGTTTGCGGACGGCGTTTGCGATGGAGAACGCGGCCGAGAACACAAGCAGGAGTCGTGTGAAGTCAGTTTGTGCCACCGAACTTGAATTAACGTTACCTTCCATTGTTGATGAAGAAACCGCTAAGCTCACACACTTTGCAACCGAGTGCTACCAGATCATCTTATTACTTAAGGTCGTCCGGCAAACATAAATGTAAAACATATGCAGTTGGCTGACCTAACCTATACCTGATTTAATCCCATCCCGAGCTGACCCTGATTTTTTAACGTTTGTCAACAGTCCATCTTTGTCAACAGCGCTATGCAGTGTTGCCTAACGCTCGCTTTCTCTGGCGTACGATGTAAATTGTGCACCCAGTATTCGGGGCGCGATAGGTTCTCGAAAATGTCAGCTGTTTTCAGATTTCTGAATTTCCCATCGACTGTTACGTCGTCAGCCACGTGACAGACCTCACGGGACGCTGTCGTGATGAAAGTGACCAGGACTTTGGTTGCCGTCGTGGTCTCTGAACTGCAACATCTAGATCCTGAGATATCGGGGTCCTTCTAATAAATACCCCAGGCGGTCGCGGTGGATGAGTCACGGACGCAGGGGGGGGGGGGGGGATCAGTGTGGTCCGGCACCGATGCCACTGTGGTTCAATGCGCTTGCATGCTTTATTATGTGGACGACGTGCAAAACGTGGTCAAATCTCCCCGTTCCCTACTGTGATCTCGACGTCAGCAACCTCCTTGATGTTTATGTCCCTATGTCTGACCTCCGCACTAGCACATTTCCCACACATGTAGACCAGGATTATCCGTTGCATCTCAATGTGCCATGGATGCGTGATATTGTGTGTATGCATGTGTTCTGAAAGATCTAGTATGTTACCGCAAAACGTGCTTACATGGCCGAAAGACATTGAGAAAACTGTATTTTTGTCATGTTCTGAATATACTTGCAAGAGAAAACGAGTTTGTCACCCTGCGTAATGTACCACGCACGGCTTTTTCGAGATCAATCACTGACCCGACTAGCCGGCATCACGAAATGCGACGAGTCAGCTTCAATCTGAGAATACTTTGAGTCATGCTTCCCGCAGCACCCTCCAGTCATCGGTCGGTTGCACAGAAAACAGCGTGGAGCATGCGGGGCAACGCATCTTCAGTGATCGCGATTAGGCTCTGGCGATGGCATCTGGCGACGCTCGTGTCGCCAGGCGCCTTAGTTCGGCTAGAAGCGCTTGTTGATCGCACAGAGTCGCTGGTCCGCACACTTTGGCCTACCATCCGCGGACTAAGGCGTGCATGCATTGCGGCATGTGCTAATACGTACACAATCAGCCAATCTCTCTCAACAGTCCTCCTCTAAAGTGCTTCCGAATATCACAAAATGGAATGTCTCCATTGACACGCAACCAGCGTTGAACACTGAAAGGCGCAGAGCTCACGCTCCACATCCAAAGCGTTGCGGCGGTCCATTGAGCGATCGACACTCCGCGGCCGACCCCGCTAATGAGTGCCGTTCGAGCCCGCCCCAGCGGCACTGAACCCGACCTACCACGGCGGCGACCCGACCACCCGCAGTGGTGCGGTGCCCCGGCGTGCTGAAGTGTTTGCTGTTGTTAATGCTGATGTCGGCTGGAGAGGGAGGAGGGAGTGTTCTGCAGAGGAGGGGCGCTGGCCGGGACGCGTCAGGCGAGAGAAGAGGAGCTCGAGGCACGGTAGAAGCCGGGTCGAGTGGGGTCGTCGCCACGTCGCAACCGAGGCCGCGTGCGTCCCGCGCCTCTTGAGAGCTCTGGTATAGCGGGAACTCGAATGCGTCCGTGAAACAGGGGCGTTTGGGCTGGGTTCACTGAATCGCTCGCGCGTTGTCTCGTGAGGAGCTCCGCGCTCCGGTGGTCTGGCGAATCGCCCCATGTATTGTCGACCATCGGCGAGGCGGCGAAAGCGCCGATGGTAAGCACGCAAGGAAGCCACTTCATAACGTGGGTCCGACGTCGGCGAACATAATTGAAACTGCTCCGAGGCCGAGAATCGCCGTGGCCCTCGCAGTTGGGGTCCCAGCGCCTGACCCGCGCGTGGACTGGAAGGCAGGATTGTGAACGGCGCCGAAAGGTCTTTAAGATGGCTATATCATTTCAAAACCCTATATAAATGTGGATACTCCCTTAAATGTAAAAGTAGCCGGCCACAGAATCATCGGCTGCCGGCCACCACCCGCACCGGCCGAACATCGGCTTGCAGTTTTCCTATAAAAACCCAAATTTTCAGAAACCAGGAATACTAGGCGCACGTTTTTGGTGGCAAATAGAGCCCAATGGGTGTCCCACGGGCCACTGAAGGTATGGGCGCAATAGCACAAAATTCCGTTCAGGTATCCCCAGAAAATCTTTGGAGTCGCATCAAACCTCTCCCATCTTTCAGGCAGCACTCCATCGCAATATGGCATGGGCGAATGAGATGGCAGGCGCTCGAGCTGAGGCACTGGAACGACCAAGGTTTGCGTCACTGAACTGGTAAGAACGTACGAACGTCTCAAAACGTGGGAACGCCAAACCTCTTTTTGAAACGAATTATTTCCTTGCATCATCATAACATCGATGTCAAAAATTCCACGGAGGGTGGGCGTGACATAGTCTATCCGACTATGCGTATCGATAGCGTAGTGGTTAAGCTACGCGCCTGCGAAACCAGAGGTACGGTGTTTAATTCCTCGCGGTCTCCGCCCTTCCTGCCACGCACACGCGCGCACGTGCACACACGCTCAC